GGATTCAAACTGCCAACCTTTTGGTTAGCAGCCAAGCTCTCTTAACCACTGCGCCACCAGGGCTCCGTAAGTAGAGTGGCTAACAATTCACACAATTCTATTTAAACGAGGCACTGGCCTAAGGAGATCACAGGGACCATGCAGGGACCAACTTTAACTCAACTCAAGGTTGTGCATGTGTGCGTTTGGTTGTTGTTATTATCCTTAAGTAATATTACACGCTTTGTTCCCGCCTCCAATTGCTTTCTTAATGTGGTCTGCTTTGCAGTCTCCCTATTCCTTCAGCTTTGGTTAGCATCTCTTGTCAGGGCAGTAATTTTATTTCTTTCAATCTAGCCATAATGGCCAAATGGGTCATTTGGCTCAGTCAAATGCCATCGTTAAAAGTGATCTTAGAATTAAACAAAAATGAATTTTTTATTCAAAAGCTCATCAGCTTCGTTTCTGCACGACCTTGTCCACTGAGGCTCGCACCATTCCATGCCTCTACACCAAAGTGCGCCTGAGTCGGGCGCACGCTTGGCTTCTCCCAAAGGGACTTCCTGAAGAACAAAGAGCCTCCGCGTAGACAACCCAACCAGGATCTGTCCCAGTCCCGCGCGAGCCGCGCGCATATTTGCAGAAAATGGTCTGGCTCTGGGATTTTGTATGTTTGTTTTTTCTTTAAGCTTAATACCCTTATCTTTGCATACCAGCCGGAAGGTCGGCTCCAAGCCTTCGTTTCTGCTCTCCTCCTCGAATTGGGCACAAACCCTGCTGCCGCCTCCTCAGTTAAGAAAGACAGAACTTTCCCACGGGGGTGCGGGGTGTCCCAGCTGCGCCGTTCCGGTTGCTTCTCTAAAGCAGATATCCCTGTCGCTCAAGAGGAAACGTCCCCGACTTCCCTCCTCCCCCATCTCCTCCCCCAAATGTGGGCGGAGACAAAAGGCTGCTTCTATCTTTATTTTGCAAATCTTTAAAACAAACTAAAACCTACTGACAGACGATATACTCTTATAGCTGATAAAGCTCCCTTGGTACTCGCCCTAAAGCAAAGCTGTAAGAGGTCGGGGGCTGAATGGTCTGGGTGCGGAAAGAGACGTGACTTGCACAGCTGCGACAAAGTGGGTCCCCAAGGGTACGACCCCCCCGCCCAGGGCTGGGTGCCCCCTCCCCCTTTTAAGTATCCCGCATCCGGTCCAGGGCTGGACAAACGGACGCAACTGGCAGGAGTGGGTGTCTTCTGACCCCGGGAGAGGCGAACCGGGCTTCTCCTCAGCTAGAGCTCCGGCCTTGGGTGTGGACCCTGGTCCCCGCCCGCACGGCCGCCCTCCCGGTCCCGGGAGGAGAGGGAAGAGGAGGAGGGCGGGCGGTGGCACCGGGGCCGCGGGGTGGGGGTTGGGGGGCGCCGGCCGCCACGCGGATTCGTTGTGTCGCAGCCCTCGGCCGCGCACGCAGTCGGTGCCGGCGAGGAACCTCAGAATTGACTCCGGCCGGAGGGCGAGCGCGCAGGGGCGGGACCGGTCTCCCCGCCCCGCCCTCGACCCCGGGGCCAAGCTCAGGGAGGAGGCGCGCAGGGATAAAATCCCGACGGCGGGGCAGTGGCAGGCCCTAGTCCTGCAGAGAGGAGAGGAGGGGCCGGTCCCGATCCGTTCCCCGCGCCCCCGCCCCTCGAGCCCGGCTCCGGGAGCGGGGCGCTCCCCGCGCGGGCAGTCGCCGGCCAGAGCGCAGAGGCTGTACCTTCAGCCGTGCTCTGAACAGAGCCCGGGAGAACCAACCGGAGCCGGCGGAAAGGTTTCCCGAGCTCGGGGTTGCTGCCGCTACGGCGGCTGCTTGAAACTCCCCAAAGTTGAGAGCCAGAGAGAGGCTGCCGCCAGCTGGGTGCTAGAGGGAAAGGAACTCGGAGGGTGCAAGAGTGACAGACGATAGACGACAGACAGACACACAGACCTTTAGAAGACACCACCGTCGGTGGCCTGTCCTCGGAGCTCGTGAAGCTTCCCAGCTCAGTGAGTTGTTTTCTGGACGGGTGGCTTGCTAAGTATTTCCGTTTGTTTATAGGATGAGTTTGTGTATTTTTGTGTCTGTGGGAGGAAGTTTAAAAACAACGCTGAATGCAACTTTAAAAAAAAATTGAGCTCTAATTGTGAAACAGTTGTATTGATAGAATGTGGCTGTAAATATCTGTAAGCAGGAGTAACCCAGGAAAATTGTATTTAACATTTAAAAAAAAAAAAAAAAAGCAAAATAGAGCTCCCCAGAGTGAAATAAAACCTTCATTTCACAAGTTACAGGCAAGGACGCTAAGCAAGGTGTTACTCTTAAGGGTTAACTAGTGGTAGTTAACTTCTGCTCTTTTCCCCCTCTTAAATATTGATTGTTTACCAGGCTCACTGGTGGGAGGCTGAGCTGGTGGAAAAAGCGCCCGGAAGAGACTCAGAGGTGACCATAATGTCTTTACGTTTACACACACTGCCCACCCAGCTTGGAGTTGTCAGACCGAGCTGCAGGGAACTGCTGTGTTTGTTGGTTATCACCGCCACTGTGAGCGGTGGCTCCTCCAGGATGTGCCCCACCGCTTGCATCTGTGCCACCGACATTGTGAGCTGCACCAACAAAAACCTGTCCAAGGTGCCTGGGAACCTTTTCAGACTGATTAAGAGACTGGATCTGAGTTATAACAGAATTGGGCTTCTGGATTCTGAGTGGATTCCAGTATCTTTTGTAAAATTGAACACCCTAATTATTCGTCATAACAACATCACCAGCATTTCCACAGGCAGTTTTTCCACCACTCCAAATTTGAAGTGTCTTGATTTATCATCCAATAAGCTGAAGACTGTGAAAAGTGCAGTGTTTCAAGAGTTGAAGGTTCTGGAAGTGCTTCTGCTTTACAACAACCACATTTCCTGTCTTGATCCTTCTGCGTTTGGAGGGCTTTCCCATTTGCAAAAACTCTACTTAAGTGGAAACTTTCTCACGCAATTTCCCATGGATTTGTATGTTGGAAGATTCAAACTGGCAGAACTGATGTTTTTAGATGTTTCTTATAACCGGATTCCTTCCATGCCAGTGCACCACATGAATTTAGTGCCAGGAAAACAGCTGAGAGGCATCTACCTTCATGGAAACCCATTTATCTGTGACTGTTCCCTCTACTCATTGCTAATCTTTTGGTATCGTAGGCACTTTAGCTCAGTAATGGATTTTAAGAATGATTATACCTGCCATCTGTGGTCTGACTCTAGGCAATCCCATCAGGTGCTTCTGCTGCAAGACAGCTTTATGAATTGCTCTGACAGCATTATCAATGGTTCCTTTCGTGCCCTTGGCTTTATTCATGAGGCTCAGGTTGGGGAAAGGTTGATTGTCCACTGTGACAGCAAGACTGGTAGTGCAAATACTGACTTCATTTGGGTGGGTCCGAGTAACAGACTGCTGGAGCCCGACAAAGAGATGGAAAACTTTCACGTGTTTCGCAATGGAAGTCTGATTATAGAAAGTCCTCGTTTTGAGGATGCCGGAGTCTATTCTTGTATTGCAATGAATAGGCAACGACTGTTAAATGAAACTGTGGATGTCACCATCAATGTGAGCAATTTCACTGTAAACAGATCCCATGCTCATGAGGCATTTAACACAGCTTTTACCACTCTAGCTGCTTGTGTGGCCAGTATTGTTTTGGTACTTTTGTACCTCTATCTGACGCCGTGTCCCTGCAAGTGTAAAACCAGGAGACAGAAAAATATGCTAAACCAAAGCAATGTCCATTCATCTATTCTCAATCCTGATCCTGCTAGTGATGCCCCAGCTGACGAACGGAAGGCAGGTGCCGGGAAAAGAGTGGTGTTTTTGGAACCCCTGAAGGATACTGCAGCAGGGCAGAATGGGAAAGTCCGGCTCTTTCCCAGAGAGACAGTGATAGCTGAGGGCATTTTAAAGTCCACAAGAGTGAAATCCGACTCAGATTCAGTCAATTCTGTGTTTTCAGACACACCCTTTGTGGCATCCACTTAATTTTGTGCCTGCATCTGTGTGCTGTGGTAATTTACTCTCTCCATATTTAACTTTGTGTGTAGTCTGGAAAATAAACAACAGGACAGAAATTGTGTTTGTTTTTTTTAAAATACAACCAAATGGTCCCTTTAAGTGGTTGATAGGAAACGTGGTAAGGCATTTTAGTGCCTCAGTGTGCCAGAGAAAGATAGGGTTGTTTTCCACAGCTTAAATTCTAAATAGCCCTTAGCACCGCTAATAATCTCACAGCTGGCCCAGAGGCAACTTGACTGACATGGTTCCATTCGGGGATCTTAAAAGGAAAAACAAAACAAAAACCCTTTATTTATTAATGTTCTCAGAAAATAGACCTTGCTAACTTACCAGGACCAAAGTTGAGTTATTTTAAAGAAAAGCATTAAAGTTCTATTTTGTTTTTTAAGAGGTATAGAAGGAAGAATAAAACAGCGGTTATTTGTAAAGCACAAAGTAAAAGGTAGTCTTGAGAATTATTCACTTAATTGCATCATTTCAGACCAGAGTGAACCGGCGACACTGATAAAATTTAATGGGTAATGCCACATACTCCGTGGTGTTAGATAAATAGTGCAATAGAGATACATTTGTTTGACTGTCTTCTTTCCGTTCTGTACTTTTCCAATCCTTGTACAAAAGATCTCATTGAAAGTTTAAAGTCATTATTTGTTGCCATAAATATGTAGGTGTCAATACCAAAATGTGTGAGTAACTTCTTAAACCTTTGTTCTAGCAAAGTAATATTTGTTCCTGTGCTTGTGTGTATGCAAATCTTAAAATTACATGAACTATTAAATGGACACCTATATTGTGCTTTGGACATTTTGAATTAATGTAAATATATGTATTCTGTCACTTGATGTTCTGTTTTATTTGGTTATTTAAAAATATAAACCTAAGATGTTTTATGAGATCAAGTTGTGCTATTTTGTGTAGAGAACCATCTATAGCAAATATCTCTCCAAAGTTCTTGGACTGACAGTATAAAGTTTAATTTTTAAAGGGAGGGGAAGGCTACAAAGTGTTCTAAATCTATTTATATCTTCTATGTCACATTTTACTCTGATCTCATTATTCACTTCAACCAGGTTTAGAAGACACAAACTGTGGTTTTGTGGCCTGTGAGAGCCTAGGAGACCTTACTATCCCAGCTGTGTCATGAGGTAATTGTTCCTTCTCTGGACCTAGGTTTCCTCAGGTACAAAATGAGGATATCAGACCAGATGGTGATTTAAGGTTCCTTGTCACTGGAATTGATGGTTTTCTGGTGGTAGCTCCATCACGGGCTTACACCGACCTTCCGAAACCGTACCTCACACTGATGCAGTGCAGGAATGGGATTAGGATAGACTAGAACAGCACTGTATAGCTTGAAAGGAATCTTCTAGATCATCAAGCTTCTACTCTTTCTCAGCACAGAGAGGGGTGTGAGTTGTCCAGCATCACACAGTGAATTAGTGACAATGATAAAGGAGAGCTCAAGCTCAGCATTCTTCCTGGGGAAGATAAGAGGGCCAAAAGAATGTTTACTTTGACTGGGAGAGGGCATGGAGAAAAGAGCTAAAGAATGAGGCAAAAAAAAGTGTTTAGATAATGACAAAGGAGAAGGAGAGATGCATTGTCATTGGGGCTAAGAGAGAAGAGGATTTTTTAAAAATGGGAGTGGGCGGTACTGACAAGTGCTACAGACAAGGAGATGAGGATGGAAGAACACCACTGACCTTGGCAATGGTGGTTTTGGAAGAATGGGATCAGCAATAACAATAGAAGACACAGTGAGAATTCACCAAGTGCCAGGCTGGTCAGCAAGTGGTTAAGGAGTTGAGTGGGGAGGAAGTATGCCTGTAGGGAATAGGATGCAGACCTTCTGTTCAGAAGCATTGAAAATTCCTTATTGCATGGTGTTAAAAAATTACCGCCCCTGTCTCTCAAACACAGACCTCACCCTTTAGATAAGATCCCTTAGGCCTGAAGATTTTACAAGCAAACCTGTTATTCTATTTTGCTGCTATTCAAATAATTAGGGAGAATTTTGTAACTTTGTTGACATTTGAAATCATCATACCCTCTTCATTTCTGGAGAAGCTCAGACTCAGAGATGCTGTGATTTGCTCAGGGTCACACCACTAGTTAGGATGGACACAAGGAAAAACTCTTGAACCACTAAAGCTCTCCAACAATGGGAAGGGCTGCCTCGAAGGATCTCTGGGCCTTTTTTGGACTGGATCTCTATGGCCCTTCTATCCCTAAAATCCTTGATTCTAGAAAATATATGTTACAAGATGCAGACAGTGCCAGAAATGGGTAGTGTGTAGAATCTAATCCTGGCTGGTCCTAATACTCGTATTTTATTAAAGGACAGGATGAGCTGAGATCAAAGCTAAGACATTATAATCCAAACAAAAGAAAAGTAAACAATCCTGAATACTGAGAAGCAAAGCTCTGTTTTGAGCAGAAGTAAGAAGACACGGTGATTAAAAAAAAGCATGGAACTAAATGTTATGTGGAATTCTAAGTTCTTAGGTATATCATTTTGTTGGTAGGACTCTAATCACATATATTTTAAATACAGGAACAAAACTAATTTGTCCTTTGAACATTTGTCCCACTCAAAACTTTTATATAATTGTCCTTCCAAGTAATAATCTAGATTTATATAAGTGAGTTGGGTTATTCTCTAAGCTACTTAGTATTTTTTTTATCACATAGTTGTGAGAAAAGTGGAAACTCGTTGGAGAAATTAAGCAAAGATCATAGAGAGAAAAATTTTCCCTGGATTAGAATATTTTTTCCCTGTAATGAGGATACCAGGCCTGCTATTTTCTGTATGTTTATGATGATCTATTCTGTAGTTAACTGTGAGTTAAATTTCTTAAGGTTTATAATCTGAAAGAATGGCCTAGAACAGTTCCTTACTTTGGTCAATTTCTGCATTAATCCTCACTGTTTGACCGAGAGAGTTTTAAATGTATTCATTTTTAGCTTTAAATTCTTGAGTTATCTGTATAGAAAAACAATTTTTTTCTCCTGAACAAGCATTTTTTTTCTGAAATGTTGATCAGAAAGGATTTTGGAGAAAGTGTTGGGGGTGGAAACATAGAGGAGCAGGGAGACACACTGTCAGTATAAATTCTGGCAGGACCTTGGATGAGCCTGCAATGTCGTCAGCTTTTCCTTTGGCCGAAGTGCTGCCTGATTGTTGCTACCCTTCAGTGTCATGTGGTTTCCCAAGTCACCTGGTCCAAAACCAGGCTTATCAATAGAATCACAGGGGAAAAGTAAACAAAAAAGGATTTCCAGCTTCTACCTCCCCCTGCCCTGCCCTAACCATAGATCCCGATTCAGGAGGTTTGGTGTAAGACCTGCCAATCTATATTTTTAAAAAAGTTCACCAGGTAATTCTGATTCTGCCTTTTTTGATAAAAGACATCCTGAAATGAGACCATATCAAATTTTGTGTCGGAATACATTATTCTCACTTGCTAGGGATTTATTGATAAAAAGCAGAATCTTAGTCCTCTCTTTAAAAAAAAAAAAATTCTAATATAGTAGAAACACAAAAGAGTTTGTTTTTCTGAAACTGAATGAATCCTGTGAGTAAATTGTTGGCTGTAATTTATACTTTCCAAATTATGAAATGTGGGATAATTACTTTGAGATGACTAAGTCCCTGATTCCTTCATTTTTAAAACTGTTTTTAGTTTGCAAGCAGTGACAACAGATCGCGTATCTAACATTGAGCCCAGAGCTTTCGTATATGATTAGATCATAGTAAAGTGAGGACATGTTCAAAGAATGTTAGAGTGCAGATTTCATCCACAGAGAACTGAACTCTTGTGTTTTTCTAATATATTAGAATTTTTTTTTTAAGAGCAATAAGATTTCTTTTCACAGTTCTTCCATCTCTGTCTTCTTAAGAACGAGCCCCCACCCCATGTTTTTTTGATTATTATAATATGAAAGTTAGTGTGGAAAGATCATGATTAGTTTGCCCTTGCAAGTATTACTGCATAGTAATACATAAAAAGTAGAAGCAAAAACCCCTAAAATAACCTCTTGAATAATTTAGAGGACTGTTTAAGGGGCCATTGTTGCTGGGAGGGGGGCACCTTTGCTGGATCCTCAGTTTTCTATCGCCAACTAGTCTGTGATACAGGTTTCTGTGAAGACCAGAGTAAATTGAGTATGGAAGAACAGACATTTTGTAAATTGTAAAGTGTGATACATATATGCTATTTATGTTGTTTTTGTTGTGTGTTGCCGTCGAGTCTCTTCCAGCTCATGGCAAACCCACACGTGCATAGTAGAACTGCTCCAAAGGGTTTTCAAGACTGACCTTTTGGAAGCCTCCCTTCCAAGGGCCTCTAGGTGGGTGCGAGCCATTAACCTTTCAGCTAGAGTTGAGCACTTAACCGTTTGCACCACCCAGAGAGCCATGGTATTTATACCAAACCAAACCTATTGCCGTCGAGTGGATTCCAACTCATAGTGACCCTGTAGGACGGAGTAGAACTGCCCCATTGGGTTTCCAAGGCTGTAACTTTACAAAAGCAGACTGCCACATCTGTCTCCTGTGGAGTGGCTGGTGGGTTCAAACTGCCAACCTTCCGGTTAGCAGCTGAGTACTTAACTACTGTGCCACCAGGGCTCTTTATGGTATTTATACTGGCTTTAATTCAGTAAGGACCTTCTAACTGCCAGGCACGCTGTGAGAGATGGTGCTTATTCATGATCATTCCTCATCATGACAACCCTGAAAGATGGGAACTATTACTTCAGGCTCAAAAAGGGTAAATAATTTACTCAGGTGATCCAGTTCATAAACTTTTTATCATGATAATCATTTTAAAATATTTCAGCACGGTACTCTAATGTATGTTTGTAAATGTTAGAAATTACTTTGGAGCGCACAGGTCATAAGTTAACTTTCTATAAATAAAAGAGTGGAGTGAGGAGGAATGGAAGATTGGGGGTTATAAGTCTTTCAAACGTAATAGAAGTGAAAATGATTTTTTTCCCTATAAAACACAATGTGTCAAAAGTAGCAAAACTGGAAGTCTCTGTGACAAGGTATAGGTTTAAGAGACTAGGCCTTCTCTAGTCAACTGACTCCTTTTAGCTTGGTTGACCTTCACATGTTAGATTGCTTAGTATGCCAAACAAATATCTGCTTTATCATTATAAACTAGTATTTGAGGTATTTATATGAGTAAAGGACTATATTCAATATTCCTTTTATTAAAAATGACCCAGATTTATAGGTAAACAGTTCTATTTGAGAGGGTACCAAAGAATTTGTTTTAAAATTTCCAGAGAAGTGGTAGAAGCAATTCAAACCTCATGGAGATTTTTCAAACTAATTTTAAAATTAATTTCTCAAAATAATTTAAAAATTATTTCACAAGGTATCCACACTAGTTTACTGGTTAAACTTCTCTATAAGGTAATATGTCAACATAGTATCCAGTATCACATTCTCAGAGAATTTTGCAGTATCTATAGGCTCTAGTGTCATGGAGTCAAGTATCCCAGAATCACAGGATCAAGGTTGAAGCCTTTGGTGATGAATGGCCAGGAATAACCTACAGAAGATTATTGAGCATTGCTAGATATTGCGGAGGACATACATGATGTATAATAACTACCCTCTGCCCTTAACGGAGATTACAGTACAATCAAGAGAAGAAACAAAAAGCATAAAAGGATTCAAGAGTGATTAAGAGCTGATTTGTCTCCTAGTGACAATGACAAATGTTATTAGCTACTGTTGAGTTAGCCCCTGACTCATGGCAACTCCATGCACAAGAGAACAA